CCGAAAAGAAACCGATTTACAATAATAAGCTATGCAGTCTCTTAGATGAGTATAGACATGTTATAATTGATGTCGCTGACAATATTGAGCACGATCCCTCGTGCAACTCATCCTTTCAAATGGCTTAACATTCCCACTAAGATTAACAAGAATATTGTTCAAATTGTTATCCTTGATGAGCTGATCAAGAAAAGAGACAGAGCGAGTTCTCTGAAATTATCATTTTAGCCAAGTTTGGGATGTGCCTTGGGTGTTCATCAATTCCTACAAGGATTATTTTAGCCAAGTTTGGGCTGCGTCTCATATATTTATCGGGGTCTACATGTTCAATATCATAGCACCAAGCCTAAAAGAGTTTATTTTTTTAGTACAACGTTACATGTGGAACGAACTTAGACAATTCATATGCTAGCCCGATTTCAAACGGCAATCGGTAAAGACACATCAAATCCGTTGATGGCTGAGGATTTGCTAAAAATCATGTTGTGATCACCAGCATACGGGTCCTGTGTAGCAAAGTTTTACAATCAGGTTCATGATACCGTCAAAACAGATATAGTGAACTATCATTTAACAACATATCTCAAACCAATTTGGGGTTCCAAAGTAATCAAAAAATTCATTCCGGTCAACCGCGAACTTTCAAAAACTTTGGAGGGGGTTCTGTAGGTTGTCTAAAAATTATCACAAGATAGCTGATCCTCATCAAATATCAATGATGGAAGTTACAATCTGATGACTTCTGCATTAACAACTCGACAATGAAGGTTACAATCAAATGACTTTCACATCAACAAAGGAAGGCTACAATTAGAAGATTTTTACGTAGATTGAGAAAGGTTACAATTCAATGACCTTCACGACAACCAATAAAAGCTTTAATTCAACAGTCTTCACAATCAACAGTGAGAGTTACAATGTGATGACTCTTATATTTCAAGGAGCTAAAGCAAAGATTATAAAATGATAATCATTGTAACACTCTGACAAAAGAGATTACAAGTCAACGATCTCTTCAGTCCAAGATGCAGAACTCATCTCTGCATCCCAGAAGTGAAATGCAAGTGGCCTCGTTTCAGAGTCAAAGCAACGCAACTATTGCGTAATCTAACTGCAAACGCAACTCAAACCTAGCCGCAAATGCAGCTCAAATCTAGCTACTAACGCAGCTTCCGCATGCTGCAAACACAGCTTCCAAACGCTATAAATGCAGCTTTCCAACGCTGCGTTCGAATGCAAAATTCGTGCCTAGCAACGCAGGATCTGCATTTGACTCGTTCAAACACGAGTTGAACGGTTCCAGAAACCATTTTCTTCCCATGATTGAACGGATTTCCGCCCCACTTAGGAGTGGATTAAGGGGGTGGTTACACCCCTTAATCCCCCTATAAATACCTCAAAACTCAACTGAGTTGAGGAGCTAGAAAAAATCGGCTTTTTTGGATTGGAATTCTTGGAGATCTTCAGATTTGGAGGTTTTTTTGAGATCATCTTCATCAACAATAGAAAGCTTTGGTGCTTGACTATAAAAACCGATTTTTGGTTCAATTCAACTCTTTTATAGAGTTTTAAATATGCTCTGAGTTCTTAAACTCATTAAAAGTTATTCTCAAACTTGCCACGCAAGTTCTCCTCACGTCAATCAAGAGGAAAATATCGTGTTCCACGAGGTGAAGCGTTCGGATCATCAACGGAAAGTAAACTCGACGCAAGCATTTGAGGGAGGCATTCCACCGACACCAAGAATAACCCAGGTTTAAACAAAGGGAAATATCTCTGTCGATCTTTCTCTCTTTTGTAAATCGGGAATCCGATACAAGAAGATTGTAATTTCTTTTTCTAAATTTGTTGGAGAGAGAGATTGCATTGAGAGAATTGTAATTAATTCTTTTTCCAAGCTTGTTAGAGAGAATACTACAAATTCATTTTCTCTATTTCTTCTTTCAATTTTTCCAACCAACAAGCATGAGCTTGGATGATCTCATCGTCCAATTGTGTGTGAACTTGTGAGCACATGTCATCCTTTTTGACTTGAACCTGCTGTGAACATCCAACATAAGACTATTGTGAACATCTGGCTTCATCATGTGCACGACTTGAGCCTGCCCTCGTGTGTTTTCAGACGTGTCGACGCTCATACCCTATGAGTCGTTCTTGACGTCCATCACGATTTGCATGACCTGTCTTTCTAAGAGCAAACAAAATATTTCCTATGATGCGAACAAATGCGTTCATCGCCCCTAGCTTGATAGTTGATCTCAATGCATCATGTGCAATAGAAGCAACCTCATCGAGTTATTGTACCTATAAGATAAAAGGATTATTATCAATTAGATGATAATAAAAATAATAATCACAAAATAATTATATATTTTGCCTATCTACTTACCAACTCTCTCTCAAGTGGACCTCTCGGTATGTACTTCTTAGGTACTTTGTTCTCCCAAAATATCCATCAGTGAGTAATCCCCCAAAACCAACATAAGTACACATCTAGTTCTGGTGCGTTAGCTCACTTCAACACTACATTAATTCCCCAATAATGTCACCCACTTTGCTTCATCCTCTTGCTGCTTGACAAAATAGTTATTGAGTCGATAAAATGTTCTCATAACCAATGCCTGTATGGGCATTACTCGAGCTCACTTAAGTACACCGTTGAAGCTTTCAGAACAAGTAGTTATCATCATGCAAAATCGATTCCCTTCATCATTACTTAGTGCCCATCGATCGACATATTCACTTCCAAACTACATTTAATCCAGTAATGTGCAGCTTGAGATGTTGCCTTAATTTGATCTTGAATCCAATCATACACACATGTTTCGGGTTTACAGCCCGCTTGCCAAAGAAGGTTTTGTAAATGTATCTGACCATGCGTCTTTTTGAAGTTATCTCTAATGTGTCTTAAGCAATAGCGGTGATAGTAATGAGAGCCAAATCTCTTGCACAATGCTTTAGAAATACCTTTCATCCTATCGGATATAAAAGTAATTTTCCTAGGAGGTAACACATTAAGAATATATAATTGAATATATTAAAAAAAACCACTCCTAATTTTCACTATTCTCAATCTCCACAACTGCGAAAGCCAAAGAAAATAAACCTCCATCTGCATCTACTCCTATAGCAACAAGCAATACGCCTTTATATTTACCATATAAGTGTGTCTCATCGATGCTAAGAACCGGTCGACAAAATTTAAATCCCTCGATCGGAGGACCAAATGCTCAAAATACATAGGTGAATTGATGAACTCTCGAATTGATCTCTTTGGTTATAAGTTTGTATTCAGATCCAAGATTATTTCTTTTGATCGCATCAAGATATTGAGGAAGTGTCGCGTAAGACTTCTCCCAATCACCAAATATTTTTGGCATCACAATTCTCATTGCATTCCATACTTTACTATATGATATCTCAATGAACCTTGTATCTAGCACTCTATCAATTATATTACCAGAGTTAGTTCAAGCTTTTTATTTAATTTTGGTATAATCAACCGCGCTATGTAAGAGGCAGATGTACCACTATGATCTTGCTCTAATATCGGATTGCTACATGTGTGAACACTGCAGTATTTTGTGATCCTAAAATGCCCATTATGTTTCTTTCTGGCAAATGCAAATAACTTCCAAGGACATGCCTAATCAACTTTATTTCCCTCAGCCTGACCTTTTCTTTTAGTATTCATAAAACAAATTGCATTATAACTTGTGCGATTGCTTTTAACTTCTTGAATTTGACATTTTTTTGATAGAGTAATCACGAATAGCATCAACAAATTGGTCCTTGGTCTCGAATAAATCTCTAACTTTAAAAGTGAAGTCCTCATCTCTTCTACCAGTTGAACTTTGGCCAATGCTAATATCTTGTATTGTGGAATAACGAATTCACTCATCATCTTCAAACTCGTCGGGAGGTGACTCTTTGTACTCAACATATTCATTATTAACATAAGCCTCATCAGGACATTTCAGATTCCCTTTAATATCTTCATTCACAAATTACATGCTACCAATTGGTGCACTATCTTGTTCTTCACCTTCAGAGTCGTTGCTTATTTCATCTTCTTCAATCGCTGCCTCTCTTAACAGCCTCATATTTTCATAAGGAGCTTTATTGTTCATAACATTTGACATTCCCCTAAATGATGATGCACTTAGATATTGAAATTGAGTTCGCTCCAGTTCACTCGAAGAAGAAAGAAAATCGTCAGGCTCAACTCCTAAATCTAACATGCATGAGAATTCTCCTGGAGGTTTGAACATTTGGCACGAACTACATGGAAACTTTTTAATAAATAATTCTATTGTTGGTTGCGACTTGATCAAATTAAATATAATACTCATATGATGATCGTTTGAGATCTTAACTGCAAACGTTCTATCAAAAGTTATAGGGCAATTGCATATTAGTTCTAGTTGTTACTCTTGTGGATCAATTTTAGTAACTCGGTGTAATTCCTTAATCGAGTTATGGTAACTACATGATTCCGAGATCATTAACGACGTCGTTACCCCTCCAACGTACATTGGTATATTATTCATTTCATAATTAATTTTTCCACCGTAAGAGTAAGTAATAAAAACCATAATTGTATAACTATATGGTTTTTATCATTTAAATGCAAAAAATTAAAAAAAGTTTTTATCAAGCCATTGAATAAAGATAGGAAACCCCTAGATACAAATAATCTCATAATCGTATAACTATAATTTTGATAAAAAACCCTAAACCCCAAAATAAAAATCTTAAACCCTAGAAATCAGCATTCAATGCCCTAGAATTTAAATTTCAATTAAAGCAATCCACACACAAAGAATTTGAACCACCACAAAGATAGTGATTGATATTAAATTTCAAACCCTAGATATTGAATTTTGATGAACACCCTAGATTTGAATGTTGAAGAAAAGAGAAAACCCCTAGATTTTTAAATGTTAAAAGAGAAGAGAATGAAGAGAAATTATCCTAGAGATCTTTTACAAACTTCCTCGATGAATTTCGGCCACAAAAATGGGGTTGGGAGACTCAGGTAGGCGGATGATTGGGAGAGACTGGAGTTGGAGAGAAAAAATCGACTGAGGGAAGAGGGTAGGTGATCAGTTGGTATATATAAGGAGGCGGGACCCACCACAAATACTTGGGGTTAGGAACCCCGACTATTTGGTCCCTTAACTGATTCCCCATTTCGGGGCGAGGGGGAGGCTCTGTCAGATGGTTGGGGTTGGGAACCCCGACCAAAACAGTCGGGTTTCTCAATCTCAATTTTTTTAGATACGTTAATCACGTAGAGCTTCTAATGGTGAGAAAGGGTGGTCCTAATTGGTTGGGGTTGACAACCCTGACTAATTAGGAATTTAATTTTTTTAAATGACCTAGTTTATGGCCACAGTGCTAACGTGGCCAGAAACTGGGTCGATTTATATAGTAAAGATAGGACTGGGTCGAATTTTAAAATAAAAGTGTGGATTAGGTCTATTTTGAAAATTTCTTGCAAAGTAGAGTCTTATGCCCTGTTTGGATGGAGGGTAGAGAGGGGGAGGGGAAGAGAAATGCAGCTTTCACCTTGTTTGGGAGTTTTTTTAAGGAGGGTAGAGAGGAGGAAGGAAGGGGAACGGAGGGTAAAATTGCTTGGTTTTCTCCCCCCCCCCTCCCCCGCGAGGGGGAGGCTCTGTCAGATGGTTGGGGTTGGGAACCCCGACCAAAACAGTCGGGTTTCTCAATCTCAATTTTTTTAGATACGTTAATCACGTAGAGCTTCTAATGGTGAGAAAGGGTGGTCCTAATTGGTTGGGGTTGACAACCCTGACTAATTAGGAATTTAATTTTTTTAAATGACCTAGTTTATGGCCACAGTGCTAACGTGGCCAGAAACTGGGTCGATTTATATAGTAAAGATAGGACTGGGTCGAATTTTAAAATAAAAGTGTGGATTAGGTCTATTTTGAAAATTTCTTGCAAAGTAGAGTCTTATGCCCTGTTTGGATGGAGGGTAGAGAGGGGGAGGGGAAGAGAAATGCAGCTTTCACCTTGTTTGGGAGTTTTTTTAAGGAGGGTAGAGAGGAGGAAGCTCCCCCGCGATTTGGGCGGTAGAGGAGGGTAAAGGAAGGTAAATGGGTGTAATAACATTCTTACCCCCATCAAAATAAATAAAAGGGCTGATGTGTTATTAATATAAAGTCATTTATATAAATTTACATATATTTACTTCCTTTCACCTTCATTCACCTTACTCAACTCCCAAACAACATATTACAATGCTCTTCCCTTCCCTTCCCTTCCTGTTGTTTACCTTTCCTTCTCTTCCCTTAGGGCTTGTTTGGATTGAGGGGAATGAGGGTGAAGGAAAGTTAGGGGAACCATTCACTTCCATTCACCTTGTTTGGGAACATTTAGGAGGTGAAGTTAATTCACCTCCATTCACCTTGATTCACCCCCTAATAGTATAAAAATTGTTACCCCCAATTGGGGTGTAACCAAGGGGAAGGGAATTCCCTTCCCTTCCCTTCACTCAGTTTCCCTTAACTTCCCTTCACCCCCTACGAATCAAAACAGACCATTAGTAAACTCCCAAACACACCATTAAGGCAATTAATTACTCTCAGCCTCCAGGGTCAATTCTGTAATTCCACTACTCCTTCCCTCTATAAAACTCCTGAGGCAACCCGCTTCCCAAAAGCCCGTGGTGCGAGGCCAGGAGAAGAAAAATCATGGGGGCTGAAGGAGAGCTGCCCGTCCTGCCCGCCGCCATCCCAGCCGCCTTCCTGACGGAGGGCCCTCCGCCATGGTCGACCACGTGGCGCGCGTTGATTGGTCGCTCCTCGATCACCTCCCTGGTGACAGAGGAGGCTCCCAACAGGTCCCTATAATTTGATCATAATTTTTATTACTAACTTATTAGATTCTGACGTCTAGTATTTTTTTTTCTTTTTTGAGGTTTTTGATTAGAGTTTGATCGAACCCATTTTAGATTTCAGTTGATATAGTCAATTATGTTGCTATGGAGACTGCACTGCTAATATGACAGAAAAGTTCGATTTTTTGAGCGAATTTTGTGTTAGTAGTTGTTAGATTTGAAATCTGCGTTTTTCATTTGGATTTGTTATGGGATTTAATTGAGATTTAACTAAATTAGTTAGTTCTGTTGCAGTGGGGATGATCACCATTCAGTTTTACATAGAAAAGTTTATGTTTTGTGTTAGTTTTGTATTGATATTTCCTATTAGATTCTGAATTTTGTGGTTTTTGGGGATTTGATAGGATTTAGTTTAGCCTATTTGTGATTTAAGTTTGCATAGTCCATTATCTTACAAGGGGGATAGCACTGTTCAATTTTATATAGAAAAGTTGATAACTTTAGTGAATTTTGTATTAATAATTGCTATTAGATTCTGAAATTTGTTTTTCTTGCTTTTTTAATGGATTATAGTTGAAAGTTGAATTTGAGAATAACTCGATATGTGGGGATGACCACTGTTCCTTTTTTTTTAACATAGTAAAGTTGTCATTTTGTATTCATAATTGCTATTAGATTCTGACATTCGAGATTTTTGGAGTTTAATGGAATCGGTTGATTTCTATAAAGAGGGGTGGGGTGGGGGTTGGAGTTGGGGTTGGAGTTTTGGGACGAATCTAAATGCTATTGATTTCCAAAAAGTATCTGAAGTGACACAATTCATATTTATTGGCAGGTCGCAATCGAGGATTTGCGGAATATACTGAGTGAAGTAAACACCCACATTCTCCCTTTCCTCAATGACCAGTCTCCTATAAGAACAATAGCTGGGGGCAGTGTCGCCAATACTATCAGGGGTCTAACCGCAGGTTTTGAAGTCTCCAGTGGAATAATTGCTGCTTGTGGAGATGATGAAGAAGGCCGTCTCTTCATTCGTAACATGAGCTTTACTGGTGTTGATATTTCGAGATTAAGAGTGAAGAAGGGTCACACGAGCCAGGTGATAAGACACAACTATTAGAGCTATCAATATATCAGGAAAGTTAGAGAAATTTGTTTTAGTCCCCACATTGGAAAACTAAATAACATCACTCACATCCACATTTTATGGCTAAGGCGAATATATTTGAAATGTATCCATCGCCTATTACAGTGTGCATGCTTGGTTGATGCTGATGGCAATCGCACCATGAGACCTTGCCTGGCTACTGCAGCGAAGCTTCAAGTAGGTCTCTTTTCTTAAACGTGCTTCCTTTTTGTTTCATGAATATCCGTGCAAATCATGTGAAATTACTTGTTTCTAAATTCTAATCCTGTGCATGCCTTCTTTCTTTCAGGCTAATGAATTGAGCAGAGAAGATTTTAAAGGTTCAAAGGTAATCCATTTTAATTAATTATCTAGATCTGATCTTGTGAGAATGGCTAGATAAGTTGTTTGGGCTTGGAAAAGACAGCCTGAGCTTACATAGCTTGAAATTGAATTAATTAGGGGAAGTCTTTTCATGTTTGTCAATAACTATCCAAGCAACTGGTTGTCAACTGTCTGTCTATTTCATGTGTGAAAAAAGCTTAACTTGAGCTTAAAAAAGATAACTAAGGATGGGCTTAGGAGAGTAGAAACAATTCCAATGATGTAGTTTGTGAGATTATAGAATTATAACCCTCAACTCTTGTTACAACTTCGAAGGTTTGGTGCAGTGAAAATTACTTTCATGTGGTATGAGAACAATCATGTTTGAATCCCACCAGACACATTTAAAAACGGATTTTAGAAAAGAAAGGTACCGCTATGTTGAATAATTTCCTTTCAATCCATGAAAAGGGTGCTCAAACTGTGAGGGCATATTAGAGTACAAATATAACCTGGAATTTTGGCATAGTCGAACTTTGGAAGGAACTTTCAAATGATATGTTGATCAAAACAGAGTAGAGAACATATGCCTTTGTAAACTTTCTTGGACTTGAACAAGTTGAGCTTGACACTTTTATCTTGAATATAGAGCTTAAACAGGTTGTTATCAATGAACTAGCTTCGTTGAATTAGTATTCCTACAAGGTTTATTAGCGTATTACTGCTGATGATTGAATCTATATTTTGCTAGATCACTGATAAATCTTAAATTTTGCAGTGGTTAGTTTTGAGGTATTCATTTTTCAATATGGAACAAATTAACACGGCTATTAGGATTGCGAAGCAAGAGGGTCTCTCTATCTCTTTGGATCTAGCCAGTTTTGAGGTATTTTCTTGACATTATAATGTTTGTACCTCTGGTTCAATTCTAATCATACTCTCAGTTGTAAACTATCGCCCTTTTACAGATGGTTCGTGACTTTAGATTACAACTCATAGATCTATTGGAAACAGGTAGTATTGACCTTTGTTTTGCTAACGAGGATGAAGCAAGAGAGCTTATAAGGTGATTCCCTTTTAATCTCAACTGTGAAAAGTTTATGCAAGCTATGTACAAAGCGATATTGACAGGAGTTTGAGAATCTACTATGTGTTTTGATGTTAGACAGGCACATAAAATCTGATGGTCCAAGCATATTCAAGATTAATATGAAAGATTTGGTTCTATTATTATTATTATTATTATTATTATTATTTACATTTTTTAGTGTCATACTGAATCTACAAATAGCTGTCATTTGTTAGTTGAAGACCTGCATCTGATCTATATGGCTTCATGCATCAATACTTAGTAAATAGGATAAATCAACTTGGTGATCCCGACAATTCAGATGTCATGTGCACCCAATTGTAAGTGTCAAATTAATAACTATCTCTATTGTTTGAAAATAAATTTGTTTATGAATCATGCTTCAGGGGTGACGTGAGGACAGACCCAGAAGCTGCATTAGGTTTTCTCTCCAAACACTGCAAATGGTCTGTTGTTACGCTAGGTTCAAAAGGCTGCATAGCGAAGCATGGGAAAGAGGTAAAATAGCATCTAAATCGTGTTTATTTTGGTGACAACTATAATATATTGGAGCTTCATTATTTCATCATGCAAAAAGAATTGACTGATCAAAAAGAACGTACCAATATAATCAGACAAGATGAGTTCTTCGGTCTAATCCAACTCTTGATTATGTTATAATATATTATACAATTATAAGCAAATATAAGAGAAGTTCAATATATTTTGCGATGTGTATGACTGGCCATGCATGGATCATATCCAGCATAAATACATACCGACACTGACATTATCAATGCAAATGTTGATCAAAATAGAAAAGCCAACCAAATTCCAGTCAAGAGGCATGTTAAACCCTTTAACATTGAGGTAACTGATTTTATTTTTTCACAATGAACTGAAGAAGCAATAAGAAAACCTAAGGGGTGTTATTCTTGTAGTTGATTGCAGATGCACCCATGTACCATGAGAGTGTAGCGACCCATAAACTATTTTATTAGCACTGACACACCTGAACTCCAGCTGACACAATTTCCCAAGTTTGGTTCAAGTGTCACGTGAGACTTACATGATGAATTTCGGCTTGCCCTCCATTTAATTGGAAAAAAAATGTAACTTCATCTGAGATTCGGGGGAGCGTAAATGTTAATTAAATAGCTTTAGAGATCATATTCTAGGTGGCTACACCACCATATCAAGTATAACTTTTCCCCCTTAAACAAAAAGATACTAATATGATGAGATGACATTGAATTATGCAGTCAAATCCAACCCGTTGTGGTTACAATGCAGATTATCAGGGTTCCTGCAACAGGGGAAGTCCATGCGGTGGATGCTACGGGCGCTGGTGATCTCTTTGCAAGCGGGTTTCTTTACGGATTAGTGAAGGGGCTCCCCTTAGAGGACTGCTGCAATGTTGGAGCTTGCAGCGGAGGATCAGTCATCAGAGCTCTTGGTGGCGAGGTGTTACCGGAGAATTGGCAGTGGATGTACAAGCAGTTAAAGTCCAAAGGGCTCTCTTTTCCGTACTTATCCTAAGAAATATAGTTATAGTTTTGATTCTTCGGTATCTATGTCTAATACTGAAACCACTTTCCTTTATTTATTTTTATTTTTTGGTAGAGGGTAATGTTGAAACTCGAAGGACGTTTGAGGTTGATGCTTATTAGATCAATGTAGAGCTAAGGGCTCCTTTGATGTCATAATTTTGGAGCTTTCTCAATGCGTTTGTTTTTGGATCTAGAAATGCTTTCTTTGGTGTCTATGAATATGTTTATTTTTTTTATATTTATGGCTAATGTTGGGATATCGAAAATTAAGAGCTTTCTCAGTGCATTTGTTATTGGATCTGGATTTGGAAAGGCTTTCTGTTTTTTTATGTATGAATGATTTTCTCCATATGCTGCTGTTAAGATCTCAGATGAAACTTTGTAGTTCATTACATATAAATAATCGAGATCCCTATCATATTTTGGCAAGTGAACGATTTTAGAACGGCTAAAGTAAGTAGTTCATTACGCATAAGCGACCTTTATATTTTTGGAGGTGGAGTTGCTTTGATTTCTTATGTGACATTGATGCTTATTAGATCATTCTGTTGCAATTGTAGATATAATTGCTCTCTTGATACCAAAAGTGTAGTCCTCGATGCACATTTGATTGTTTGTAGATCTGGAAAGCCTTCATGTTTCCGTTGCATAGATCCATGGTTCATTTCTCTATTTGCTTGTAGTCTGCAGAAACTTTGGTAGTTTATTACGGTATATGAACAGTGAGATTGTGTCACATTTCGGCAAATGAAGGTCTCGCGAGAGTATCCAGATTTTTTGCAGCAGTTGATGAAGATAACTGAGGCCAAGGGTTAATTCTGAGCAAAGCTAAGTACTCACACACTGAAGACTATAATACTCTTTATACTGAAGACTAAAAGTGCACTCTAGTACTTTGTCCTCGCATGCGCCTCTCGAAGGTCGCCTCCATGTTTGGCTATTCATGCTAGATTGCGCCTCTAAAGGTTGTGGATGTCAATCTGCTTTGTACTTAAGGTAATTTTGTCGTCCAATCGTCTCAACATTTTACATTAGCAAGGTAATTTTGTCGTCCAATCGTCTCAACATTTTACATTAGCAGTTCAGATCCTTTCACAATACCGCCCCACGTGGGGGTTCTCTGCCATATAGAGCGTGGAGAAATAACCAAACTGTTCCTTGTTTAATACATAAATGGTTGAAACTTTTTATACCCAGCAGAAAGTTCTGATAAGATCTGAACACTTCTACTAGTGCCGTAGTGCGTAATCTGAATATGCCTAGATACCATCCTAGTTTGTGCCCTCTAATTTTTTGGTGCTCTGGAATGATCGAATATGATCCAATACACAATCACATTCATGCAATGATTTAATTCGTACCATCACCGCGGTTATATGGTTCATCGGGTAAAAAAAGAAAGCATATTACAAATTGATACGGTTAAATTGGTTGACTTTTGATGACACTTCAAGAAAATAAAGAAATATGTGTTCAGTTCGTTCCTAATATAAACAGTATAAGAACATTATCATTTAACTTATGACTCTCTACCAAGAAAAGTTTAAAAACATCATATCAGCAAGCCGAAAAGTCATATATAATAAGGTCTCATTTTTCGAAATGCAAAAACATTAAGAAAAAAACAAAATGAGCACACGACGAAATAAAAAACAAACCAAGGATTAATCTGAAAAGAAAACACACTTCTAAATTGAAAACCCGACATCAAACGGGTCGTAACCAGATTAGACCCGTTAAACCTCCTTTTAAAAACACGCTCTCTCTCTCTCTCTCTCTTCGAAGAGCCCTAATTCTCTTTCGTTGGATTGCATTTACAATTTCGAGGTATAAAGTTCTCTCTTTTTTCCTTTGATTAATTTATTTAATTTTTGCGTCTTTTCCTTATGATAGTTTCTAAGATTTCTGTCAATTGAGGTAAAAAGTTGTTCTTTCCTTTTATTCCCAAGAAATCCCCAAAAATTAGGGTATTCTGTGGTTACGAAATTAGGGTTTCACTGTGAAAGATGCCTCTCTGCGATTATAACTATTAGTCTTTAAACTTGTTCTTTATTTTTGATTTTAGGTGTACAAGTTGGTATAATGGCTTTGAATTAGATAACTATTAAGTGAACTTAACATATATTCTTTTAATTCTTCTTGATATATTTGCAAGTTGCAGTTTTGTTTGTAAATTCACAGGTTGCATATGATTTAGATGATTATAAGTAGCCATGGGTATTTATCATTTTGCATCTATGCATAAAGTAATTTTTTTTGTTTATTCTATACCATTAGAGAATTCTTTAATCTAGTTCTTTTGCTTATGTTGAATTTATTTTGTGAATTAGATACATTCAGGCCCATCTGATTCATTTCCATTACTTTTTAGTTTTGATTGGCTTTAGTAGCAATAAGGGAAACTATTACTCAATAGCATGGCCACCAAGCCACAGATGTCTGGTGAGGGTTTCAACGCAATTGCGGGCATGTCAAGGAGCCAGCTCTATGACCTTATGTCACAAATGAAGGTATCAATCATCGACAAAATTTTATTATTTTTGATATAGTTTTGGTTGCACTAGTATAGAGGCTGAATAATTGTGGTGGGCTTTTCTCTTGTTACAGCTTTTGATTGAGCAGAATCATCAGCAAGCAAAGCAAATTTTGATAGATAACCCTATGCTTACTAGAGGTCTTTTCCAGGTGAAAGCGTGCTCGTGGTTACTCTGCTGAAGTTTTGAAAACTCTGCTGTTGTGTATATAAGAAAGAGGAAACTCTGCTCTTTTGTTTGTAGAATGTGGTTTTTCCTAAATTCTTTAATCTATTTGTATTCGTCACTCTAGAATTATGTAAATAACAATTTTTCATTGCCTTATGGATAAAATTTTATTAGTTCTTTGAATTACTTGGCAGCTAGCAGCCCTTCAATTTTCATTATGGCTGTGTTAGTTTGATAGACTCATTGTCCTTGGTATGCATTTGATCCACTCATTAGCGAAATCATTTAGTTGCCTACTGAATCATCAAATGTTAAGTCTATATGCATAATGCAGAGTATTAATCAATGATTAATTGGCTATATGCATTATCAGCAATATATATGCATTTATGTATATATGATTCAACCTTCTAAGGTATCATAAACAAATACAATTGAAAACTTACATATTTTTCTTTTCTCAATTTAGAAGAGTCCTTTGTTGATAAGCGTCACTTCAGAATACCCTTGCAGATCCCGTTTAATACACCTTTTAAGTTTTTGTTTGTTTGAAAGGCTAGAGAGAACTTGCATTCAACTTTATGGATTCAGAACCTTTAATTGCTTCTTTCACAAGCTTATTGCATGGCATCTACTTGTATATTAAACTGAGGAATTGTAAAATGTACCAGGCCTGTAGCTTTTCCTTGTTGATCAACACTAAAAAGTAGATTGCTGCCTTTTAAAATTATTGTGAAGATAGAAATAGAATCGACTGTTGGTATGATAAAAATGTGGACTCTACATTTTGTCATTTTCTATGCATTAAGCCATTTACTGGTTCTTCGTTTACAGAGTATTATTGATCTTTGATAAAGCGTCTGCAAATGTTGTAAAGATTGGGACTCCTATGAAATCCAAGCATGGTTCCTCAAATGTTGTAAAAATTGGCACTCTTGTGAAGATCTTTCCTTTTATTTTATTAGATCCTAACTAATGATGAAGGGATTTATGGGTAACCTGGGTGTCTAGTCCACATTTCCAACTTCAGGTCCTGTGTTTTGGTGTCTGTTAATCATTCTAGTCATTTGTATTACTTCAAAGTGATGCCTGGCCATGTGAATTTTCTCTAGATGCAGTATTTAAATTAGTAAGACATATCAAAGCCATCTGTCAATGTTATTTAGGCATATGCATGATGCGTGTATGTTCAAATACCATATTATATATATTATGCAGCACACAATTGGATACTCGGGAAATTTTTATTTAGACGCTAATTTTTTCCGAAAATTCTGAAGATCTGTGAAAAACTTTCGTGAACTTCTTAAATGTAACTAGGATATGATTAATATTAGTGAATAAATCTAGATAGAAGTAACAAAATAATAAATGAAGTGACAATTAACATCTTTAACAATCAATAAATATTTAAATTTGTTAAGCAAGTTAAAGGTATCAACATTGAAACTAATAATTAAAGTAACTTTAAACAAGCAACAATTAACAACTAAACAAGTACTAAGTGAATAATATCTTTACCATAATGCACCTTATAAGAATCATGTAGCTCTAAAACAGACCATGCTCCTGTTTAATGAAAATTCTATATGAAGTCTGTGCGTTCACATAATAGATTGCAACTCTGTTATGCGACTTGTTTGTGTAATACCTGCAGACTGATATATGATTGCTGTCATAGGCTGTATAGAGTCATGTGGCTGGAACTCCCTTTTTTTATCAGACGAACTAATTACCTGGAACCGCAAGGCATCAGTAAATCAAACCAAAATTCTTAATAACACATAAACATGTGCATGTGCAGACGCAGGATACTGAATATTGGACCATATGCAGATTCTGGATAGCATAAACATGCACGCGTTATGTGTTACATGCAGAACCATGAGATTAAGCTTACCCATTAAATATATTGTTTTGCAGTCTGATATTAGGGTTTCGCAGTCTGACAAATTGATAAAGTTTCATCAGATAGAATAAAAATGTGCAATATGCAGATACATGGGTACTGAATTGTAGATACAGGGTAACAGAAACATGTGTAAGTTCCAATGTACTTGCAAGAACATTAACAGTATCTCCATATATTGTTTTATAGTCTGCATGAATGTTTTGCTGTTTGTCATTCTCCTATACCTAGCTATCTTTGTTCCTTTTTGTAGTCTGACAAATAAATGGAGAGTTTTATCAGACAGAATAGAGCATTGGGGATTTGGAAGCTCTTATGCCAGTTATAGCACATAGCAAACTCCTTATAACATCAATACCAATCTAGTTCCCCTATGATAAAGCAGGGAAGAAAACAAATTGAATGCTTTTGTCATTTAAGGTGATGAATGATCACCAGCAGTCTCTTTTTGTTATAACTCATAGCCGTTGTAAGCTAATCTTCTTGATTAATACATCAAGGTTCCCTTGCTGTAGCTTCCTTTTTCTATGTAAGATTGGGTTAAATGATTTGGTGATGTCTTAAATCATAGAATATATAGCAGCTAAAAGGAAGTGTATATTTTAGTGCGCACGTGTTTTCTTGGACATGTACATGTGACATAAAGTTTCATTTCAATTATTTCATTGTTCAAGCTGTTTGGTTTGCAAGATCCATGATACAGTCATATGCTCAATGTCTGCTACATGTTCAACACTCTTATACTGTGACCTTTTTTTATCTTCATCTTGTAGAGAAAATTTGTTGCTTCTGATTTGTCTATCCATTGGTAACTTGCATGTAAATTTTGTCATCAGCATAGATCATAAAGCATAAATCATAAAAAAAGATGTTAAGAATTTTGTTTACTCCTGTTTTTATGGTTTACAAGTTTCACGTGATAATATGTGTTGTTTAACTGATTCTTCTCTAGTAAATATTACTGATATGAAGATATAATAAATAATGTGTTATTATGTCAATGGTGCAAATCATGTCCGGCTTCTTGGTTTTAACATAATACAACAACCACCACCAAGCCTTTATCCCAAATGTTTGGGGTCGACTACATAAATCCTATTTTTTCATTCTATTTTGTTATGGGTCATCTTCTCCGTTAAGTTAGTCATAATCATATCCTTCTTAATTGCTTTTAACCAAGTCATTCTAGGTCTTTTTCTAGATCTTCTAGCTCCATTAACTCTAATAGTATCGCTTTTTCTAATCGGTGCACTAAGGGGTTTTTGTTATACATGATCAAATCTTAATCTATTCTTTCTCATTTTATCCTCAATAGGAGCAATCTCTAACTTACTACGGATGCACTCATTTCTTATCCTATCTTTTAATGTATACCCACAATGTATACCCACAAGACCATCGCAACATTCTCATTTCTGCTACACTAATTTTTTGAACATGTTTTTTAATTGCCCAACACTAAGCATAGTTGGTCTTATAACCGTCTTATAGAATTTTCCCTTTAGTTTCATTGGTATTCTACAATCACATAAGACTCTCGAAGCACTCGTCCATTTCAACCATCCCGATTTGATTCGATGCATAATATCATCTCACCATCATGCCTAATAATTTGATCCTAAATAACGAAAATAATTAGTTTTACGTATTTCTTAGCCATCAATATGTACCGTGGGCTCTCTTTCTTTCCTAGTTTTACTAAAAATATACTCTATATATTCTGTTTTGTTCTACTAATTCTAAAACATTTAGATTTAAGAGCTTGTCTCCATCTTTCTACTTTAGAAATAATGTCTCTTCTAGTTTCATTAACTAACACTGTATTATCGACAAATAACATACACCATGGGATTTCATCCTGAATGTGCTTAGTAAGTTGGTCCATAACTAATGCAGAAAGATAACGACTTAAAGCTGACCATTGGGGTAAACCTATGGTAATAGGAAATGGTACAGTCTCGCCTTCATTAGTTCTTACTCTAGTTATTACTATATCATACATATCTTTAATCACATTAATATATACACTAGATACATGTTTTTTTTCTAACACCCACTATATTACCTCTCTAGGCACTCTATCATAAGTTTTTTCTAGATCGATAAAAACCATATGTAGATCCTTTCTCTTCTTTCTATATCTCTCCATCATGTAGTCTCTCGGTTTTAACATAATGAATCCAAATATTAATTAGAAATTTTCTGGATAACTAGTTGGAATGCAAAATTATTATTTTTCCTCATCCAACTGTCAGAAGTTGGGAGCTGATGGCTTAAATTTCAGTGTTATGCTTTACTTTTTGTAGCTCTAGAATCTGGATGTAAAATAATAATTATATTTTGTGACAATATTCACTGTTGAATTTCCTGTTGTTATGACCTAAAAGTTCATGCTTGCTTAGTCTGCTTATCTGACAGTTATTATATCCTTTAGTGGTCTATTAATTGCTAGCATTAGAAGTTAGAACATAGAAATGTGTTATAGCATTGTCTTTTTTTATATAGTCCGGCATGCTTGTTTTGATCTGTCACTGGCGTTCTCTTCTCCAGTCAGTAGAATAGATCTTGTGAATGTTTACTGATCTTTTATTCTCATACCTGTTCTCATGTGTTAATATTTCATTGCAGGCACAAGTTATGCTGGGAATGGTGCTGCCTACTCAGGTACTCATCTGAAATCTTTATAAAAGTTGCTACTTCAATTCACAGTGTTCATTTTTCCAAATCTAATTTAAACTGTTATTTTGTTTCAGCCGGCTAACATTCAGAAAGTGTTATCACAACCACAGTCAGCACAGTTGGTACAGCAATCAAATGTTCAATCTACCCAATCTCTGCCACCTCAACCAAGCCATCAAGTTCAAAGTAATTCATCTCACCCTTCAGTTTCAGCTAGGCAGCAACAGCTACCTCAACAATCCATTTCCCAGCCATCTGCTTCACTTCCGCCAATGAGCATTCATTCACAGACAGCACCATCAATTCCTCCATATTCAGCTCAGCAAGCTAAGGGGCCTTCTAATGCTCAAATTCCTTCAATGTCAGCTCCACAGTCATCTCAACTTCATAATTTGCCTTTACCTCCACCTCAGGGTCCTCCTCATCCTCAATACTCAATTTCTCAACCTCATCATGTTCCTATTCTTTCAAGTCAGCCACAGCCATCTTTGCAGATGCCTGGAATATTCAATCAACCTATGCAACCGCCCTTGCCGCAGCAGCCAAGGCCACCTTCCATGCAGCAGTCCTTTGCTCATCAGCATCATGGACAGATGCCTCATCTTGGATTTCAAACAACGAGTGCACCTCAACAGCACTTATCACAACCTATGTTCCATGTGAGTTAGTAGTAGGAAATTCATTTTACTCATATATTTGGTGGTATTATCTATGTATGCACAATTGGCAAGCTGTTATTATCGTTTGCATTTTTTTCCAGTCGGGTGGAAACATTGGATCTCAATTCCAGCAAGGACTGCCTCCTCCGCTGCCAAATCAGCCACCTCCTCAACATATTTATCAGGTATGCTAATTTTTTCTTTGTAGCTTTATTTCTTTGAAAATATTTTACCAGAATGTTATTGTGCATTTAAGATTTAACACTCGGTTGGAGTTCACGGTTATCATATAATTTAACCGGCTTTACAAATATGCATTTCTTTTTATTGAAGTGCAGGTGTGAGAGGTATTCCTGATTGATTCAGTTATTCTTCTTGTAGGTATCATGTTAGTTAAATGATTGAGTAGTTTTTTTAGTTCTACAATCATGGGCTAATGTACTTGCCTTTAGATGCACTAGCTCAGTTCACAAAATTCTCAACAGAAAGAATCAGGGAACATTGATGCGTATATTGGGTAGAAATGGATTGCCAGATTGCGTAAATATGAAGTGATTATAGCATTAGCTGATGAAAAGATCATTCAAATGGCAGCTTTTTTTGGTTGCTGGCTGGTAATAATGTACTAGTCAACATATTAATAATTCTTCAAAGTTTGAAGCTATTACAAAAACAACAACAAAGCCTTCGCATCCCAAAACATTGGCTGCATCAATGCTATTCTTCACTTCAGTTCTGTTTTGGGTCATCTCCTCCATTAACCATTATCATATCCTTTTTTACTATTTAGGTCTATGTCTAGTCCTTTTTGCCCCTCAGCTATAGTATTATCACTTCTTCTAACCGGCTTCCTTTCAAGATTTCTCTTACAAAGGCTGAGAGTGCTTCAAGTTCAGCTCAAGCGGGGGCGCTTATGACTCTCCCTTCAAGTCCTGCATACTTGGATATTTTAGTTCCTTCTCCAGCCGTTTCACCAAAGTCACCTGCCACCTTTTTGTCGGGCTTCGCGACATCTGAGGCCTTAGTGTCATCCCTCATTGCTTCTTTAAGCTCAGTAGATGTTCCTGACTTGCTCGGGATCTTCTTTGGTCACTTAGAGAGTGTAATGAGGAAGGTGGCCGAGATCGTCATTGTTGGTCGAAGCACATTTGAGTCTTTCCGACCTCTTTTAACCAGCAGTCTGAACAACGTCAACTGTCTAGGTGACGTTCAATGTATTGAACGCTGTTCAGAGAGTATCTCTCGCTTAGAAGCCGATCTAAAAGCCTTAGAAGACTTAGGACGTGTAGATCTTGACGCTCAGATTGAATAAACCCTTGTTGACATCCGGACTGGGGCGGCCCATCAGTATGAAATCATTCAAAGGGGCTTGGCTGAGAAGGAAACCCAGGTTGTAGATTTACAAAGGCAATACGCTCAGAGGCAAGATGAGCTGACTATTTCAACCACCGCTATGCAGACTGCCCGAGAATCGATCACTCGAAAATAAGAGATTATCGTCCAACTACAGGCGAAGGTAGCTTGAGAAAAGCCCAACTTGCTCGAGAAGAATCTATTGTGCAGGAGCTCACCCTCAAGAATATCGTAACTTATGCAAATTACCGCAAAGAGGTCCAAGTTCTTGAGGAGGCCAAGAAGGAGGTTGCTGCCAAGGTGCCGGACGAAGATGAGCTTAGGAGGAAAGCTGAAGTGACGGTGCGAGCTGCTCATGAGGAAGAGCTCTCAGCGATCTAAGTCCCGGCGCTCATCTATCCAATTGATGGGTCCCCGATACTGATTTAGTATTGTTCTTTTGTTAAGAACAAAATCTTATTTGTATCACTCTTTTCCATTTTGAATAAAGGTGATACTGTTTTGGCTTTCCATTGTCTCTTTTATGTTTCATGTTTTGACTTGAAATAATGAAAATAACTAAAAATGCCAGAGGTGTAAATTTAACTTTGCATAAAATCCTACATAAAGCAAGATTTAATACTTTTCTTTATTATCATTTAAGATAATTTTAAAAAAGTTTAATCCGTTAGGGACTTTCATGAATACTTATCGTCCTATTAGAGGGGAATTAACAGGTTCGTGAGGGTTTGACTGTTATAATAACTGTAATTTATAGACTTATCATTATGTTTGAATAAGATTGATAAGTTAAACTTGTCAGAGGTATGATGTTAACTTGACAGGGTTGAATACTTATGGTTTGAACAAGATTTATAGGACTTATCGCTCTATTAAAGAGAGTCGATAAGTTGATTTTGTCAGAAGAGCGATATGAGCTGGACAAAATCAGGTAATTATGATTTGAACAAAATTTTAGGACCTATCTCTTTGTTGAAGAGAGTTGATAAGTTGATTGTCAGAAGAGCGATATGAGCTTGGCAAAATCGAGTACTTGTGATTTGAACAAGTTTTTGAGGACCTATCGCTCTATTGAAGAGAGTCGATAAGTTGATTTTATCAGAGGAGTGGTATGAGCTCGGCAAAATCGAATACTTGTGATTTGAACAAGTTTTTAAGGACCTATCGTTTTATTGAAGAGAGTCGATAAGTTGATTTTATCAGAGGAGCGATATGAGCTGGGTAAAATTGAGTACTTGTGCTTTGAACAAGTTTTTGAGGACTTGTGATTTGAACAAGTTTTTGAGGACTTAGCGTCTCACTGAGAAAGATTGATGATTGATTTGGTCAGAGGTATAGTATTAACTTAACGGGAATTTGAGGACTTATCACCCTATTGATGAGGATTGATAAGTTGATTGTGCTTTGAGTATTTTTGAGGACTTATCATCCTATTGATGAGGATTGATAAGTTGATTTTATCACCAGAAGAAGCTTGTAATATTAAGAAAATAAGTTGTATTCATACTCTGTGGGGATAATGGTCGTCAGAAGTATAATATTAACTTGATAGGAATTGATGATGATTTATCACTCTATTGATAAGAGTCAATAAGTTAGCTTTGTCACTAGAAAAGCTTGTCATATTAAAAATAAAACAAGCTGAAATCATGCTCCGTGGGGATGATGATTGTCTTGATGATATTCGTAATTCTATCATCTTATCGAATAAGATTGATAAGTTGATTTTATTTGGACCCCTGTTGGGGAGATACAGAGATTTTGAAAACACTCTGTTGAAAGAGTTCATGATGTAGGACTCATATGAGAATAAGTGTCATGTTTGAAATGCGATGGTGAGCCCCACGTTTTGAAGTGGTGAAACGCCAAAGTGACCTCAGCGTTTAAGGTTTGACACGTGGAGCTGAGCTCTACGTTTAAAGCTTGCAACGCGGGTCTAGGCCTGACGTTTAAGATTTGAAACGCGACGGGGAGCCTTACGTTTAGTATTTTGAGACGTAGGGCTGAGCTCTGTGTCTTGAAGTCGGACCAACTTATCTTGGAACGTGGTGATTGCGTTTAAGCGGGATTCTATCCTAGAATCTCGTGTTAAATTAACAGGTTGTCTGCTGTATAAATAGACCGGTCCAATCAAGTGTCATTCGACTCTCTTAACGGTTTCTTAATTTTAGAACGAGTCATCTCATTGCTTCAAAATCTCCGATGATCTTTGACCTTCGACCTCAATGGCAGCAAAGAAGGCACGTTCTCGCTCCGAGAAGGTCATGAACCCGACCTCTTATGCTCCGTCGACTGAGGACGCCGACGGCGCTCCTATTCCAGCGGTTACGTCGTCGCCGCCAATGCCTCTTTACCATGGTAAGTGAGGACCTTTACAACTTGTTTCGATAAGTTTTGAACCCTAGACGACAAATTCTAGGTTGTCAACAACGAGCAAGACTCGTTCTTTGTCGATGGAAACGCGGATGAAGGACTTTGCGTTAATAGTGAAACACGGGATTGACTCCTGCGTTTTGTAACCACTAGTTTTTACACACGTGCAATGCACGTGATTTAATATCATGATTAAGTATTTTTGGCAGTTTGTGCTTATTTTTTTCTTTAAACTCTTACATCCCAATTATTTTTTTATGTTTGTTTAAATGGGATACACCCAATTTAAATTTTCATGTTGATATTTGAATTGACAAAAAACAAATATAATTTAAAAATAATTTAAATTTTCATATTATTTTTGACCGATATGAAACTAAGCTTTATTTGAGAAAGTATAGTATTGCAAAGTGAAAAATATTAAAATAGTGTTATACAAGGAAGGTGAATATTTAAAACCAATATGACAAAATAATTGATTTAAAGTATGTTAAAACGATGCAAAAGAGAATATGAAGTTTATTCCTAATCATTGATAGACTTCATAAAAAAATATAAATTAAAGATTAATGCTAACTCTAGTATACTTTTATATGATAAAAACATCCACATAAGAATATAAAAGTACTGAAAAAAATTCATGAAACTCCCTTCTAAAGATTCCTATTTTCACTCAAAATAATTAAACTATTCTATAAAATATTCAAAAAATATTATTTTTTATTTCTTCTATTTTATTTTTTATTGAGTTAAGATCATTCCTTCTTCAGGTTTATCATTTATCATTTCTCGGGCAATTCTAGAGTATTGTCTTCATCATTTACATCAATTGTGACATCAGGCTAATTTTGTATTTTTTATGCTATTATCTTTCCTGGGCTCGTTAATTTTTTATCATCTCATTTAACTTTACAAAGAAGTCAAATGTACTTATGATGTTCAACACAAACTGCTCAAAATATAGACTTTGATTTTTTTTCTATTTCAATGAGAATAAATATTAATTTCATATATATAAAATTCTTTGTGTTCCTAATTTATTACTTAAATAAATTAGAAGCTATCTCTTTATTTTCCTCTAAAATGAATTCTTCTGATGTGCATCCAATAAGAATTTCTGTTATTTCAATAATATTACCTTTGCTCTATCCCTGTCATTTTCCATAAAGATCTAAACTAAATACCTGCATTATTCATTACTAATTTCTCTTAGATTATAATATTAATATTTAATTTGAAGAACACAGTATGGAATTTATGAATACTTACTAATTTTTCTTATGTCTTCCATGGAGATTTTTTCTTTGATTAGGATAAAGTTATTAAATTATTTTTTAATGTAACTCATTCAGTGCTTCATTAATAGATATGTCTTATGTTAATGCCAATTCAAGTGATTCATTGACGTTTTCTGAATTTTAGATTTATTTCCATCACTTTCCCATTTGTAATGGAAATA